GAACAGGGTTAACAGCAGAGGTGGTATTCAGCAGGTTCTGACCAGTTCTGGAGAACTGGTAACAGAAATTTTGAGTAGTTCAGATAACCAGTAAATACCACCTCTGACTGGCCCCACCCACATCTATTCTCTGCCTCCCAAATCCCAGCTGATCTGGAAGGAATGGGGATTTTGCAGTAACCTTCCCCTGGAGTGGGGAGGTAATGGAGATTTTACAGTATCCTTCCCCTGCCACACCCACCAAGGCATGCCATCCCCACCAAGCCACACCTACAGAACTAGTAGTAAAAAAATTTGAATCCCACCACTGGTTACCAGATATTTAAACAAACAAAGAAGGACACAGACAATTGGAAAGGAGAACAAATGGGTTTCTCTCCACATCTTCCAATCTTGTACTGCTTCTCTGAGTTTTTCTATGCTCTGGCTAGAGTCAGATTTGATGGTGTCCAACCACCATGTTTTTGACAGACTGGTTTCCTCTTACTGCAAACTCTTCCAAACATAATTGCTTTCTCCAGTAAATTCCTGTAACCTAACAACCCCCCAAAATGCATCGCAGTCTAAAATTGCCAACACTTGCTCCAAATGACCTTAGGGTATTCTGTAAGGAGGACCAATTCAGATGGGCAGCTTCACAATTTCATCACTCTGATTCCATCATCTCTGCATACTATTTTCTTTCAACCAGAGCAGATTCCATTGTTACTCTGTGGAAAGATCTTCTCATCTCCATCTATAAATCAGGTCCCAAATAGGTCATTCCTGTTTTTGTAAGGTCAAGTCCAAAGTACCGCTCTGTAAACTTACTCTTATTTGTATTTTCAGAAACTTGTTTGAGGCCTCAAGTTTGCTTGCTTCTGCCTGCAAAAGCCATGAACACAGGATTTCTGAATTATCTCACTGTATCTGTTCATTAGTAAATAATGAACAATCTTTTATCAAATATAGTTTAATATTATATTAGAGTCTAAGAATAAAAATAAGAATGCTATTGTCTTCAAAAAGGGAGCACTTTGGTAGAGTGGTTAAAGGAACCAGAAATTGCATGATGTGGGATCTAGTTCCATCTTAGTTCCATTTAGTTCCATCCAGCTCACCTTAGCTTGTGCTTTAAAAAAAACAACTATACAAATAATCTCCTTTATCAGTAGATTTAGTTTCAAAGCCCTGAAGCATCTTATTTCTAATCATGAAACTTAAACTTAATGCCTTACCTCTAATTCTTTCACAGTCTTTTGTTTAATGTTTATAATGCTACTGAAAGTCATTGTGTTTTTAATTTCTTTCTCAATTGCTTGAATTTCCTCCAATTTCATAATGATTTGGCACCTCAGAGATGTCAGCAGGTCAGCATTGGTCATAGAAGTTGCTTCTACCCCTTCTTCATCACCTTTTTCCTTTTCTGCAGGTGCAAAGAAGGGACAAGAATTTTGACAGAAGGGTTTCTCCTAAGACATTACATAAAAGGACCTGCTGAGAAGGGCATTCAATGTGATACACCTCTAGGGGAGGACAAGACAATTCTCTCCTTTGACCATTCGCCTTTAAGGTCAACAAGGCATACAAGATAGATAGATAGATAGATAGATAGATAGATAGATAGATAGATAGATAGATAGATAGATAGATAGATAGATAGATAGATAGATAGANGTGTGTGTGTGTGTGTGTGTGCATGCATGTGTGTAAAATTAATAAAAAATTGTTTTGGAAGTAGTAATTTTCATATGGAAAGAGCTTATTCCATTTCTGATGAGCACAACCTCTTGTTTAAGCAGAGATAAAGAAAAGGTCTTCATGATCTATGCTGGACTGTTTTCCACTGTTTGTACTACATCACATGGATCCAGTTGTTAGTCCTGGAAATAGGGGTAAATGCCAAGGATGGCCAATAAATTCCAATACAATTGAAAGCCTATCTGGCTTCCATTAAAACCTTCAGACTTACCTCTGCTTTACTTCATTAAGCTTCTGCCTTCTTAGTGTTGCTCTGATACTATGTTCAGTATCCTATCACACAAAACAGTTCAAGATCTGATTATGACATTTTGCATTACAAAGCTATAAAATGCATCATTTATTTATTATCTCAGGCATCTTTAGTCATGCCTAACAGATGCCATTCTTAGTACCCTTCCGACTCCTTGCAAGAGTCATTGGAAACAATATAATATGTGCTGTTAGTGCAGAGCAGGAAGGCACCACAAAGCAGACCTGCTTACCCCCAGATCTTATACCTAGGATGCCCATGATAATAACCTGCAGGGCAGAATAAACATATTCTTGAATTGTAGTTCTAACATTTTAATTTTTATATACGGTTTTTATATTTTTGATGTTTTATTGTACAGCACCCAGAGTCCCTCTTTGAGAAAGATGGGTGATTTAGAAATGTGAAAAATAAATAAATGTTGGGGACAGGCCATATTTATTCTCAAACTATTAAAAAAGATAAAGCCTGTTTGGTTTTGTGGTTAAGGTACCAGGCTAGAAAGTGACATAATGTGAGTTCTAATCCTGCTTTAGCCATGAAATCTGGGTGATTTTGGGCCACTCCTTCTCAATCCAACCTTTCTTAGATAGAAATTTAAAAAAATTAAGAGTGGACTGAACCACTCTTTTTCCTTCATTGCATGCCAAATTATTTCAACCTTGTCAAAGCAAATTTAGTAATGTGCAAAGAGAAAGGTTGGGAACAATTTATTTCAGAGGTCTCCAACTGTAATTCCTTCCCCCTCCCTACCCTCTCATCTCATCAAGCCAATTTTGATCCTGTCTCACACTCATCTGAAATCTAGGCATGTTCAAAGTGGGCTCAACGTATCCCAAAAGATGTGAGTAGCAAATATGGTATATGAGAATGACAGTCTTCAGGATTCGAAGACTGATATTGTTGTGAGCATCCTTGAACAGGGTTAACAGCAGAGGTGGTATTCAGCAGGTTCTGACCAGTTCTGGAGAACTGGTAACAGAAATTTTGAGTAGTTCAGATAACCAGTAAA